CACCACGTCCACGTCCGCGGTCACCGCCACCGAACCCACCACGTCCACGACCTCTGTCGCCGAATCCTCCACGACCCCCACCCCGTCCACCCCCAGCGTTGTCTCTTGGTTGGGAATAGTCCAAGCGAAGGCTGCGGCCGTCAAGCTCATAACCCTGCAGCTGCCCGTGGGCTGTCTGTGCGGCCTCCACAGCACTAAACTCGACATAGGCAAAACCTTTCGGCCTTCCCGAGTCACGATCCGTTGGAACACGAACGCTTTTAACGTCGCCGTGCTCGCCAAAGACTTCCCAAAGTTGGTCCTCGTTGACACCAAAGCTAAGATTCCCAACAAAGAGAACACTTGATACTGGGCTCTGCGTGTCGCCAAAAGATTTTGCCCGGTTTTCACGGACAGCGCTTTTATCCGGCGGAGTGCTTTTGTCAATATTGACAGGTCGTCCATCAATTTCCTTGCCATTCATTTGGAGAGCCTTTTCAACCGCATCTACGGATGCGAAGTGCACATAGCCAAAACCGCGCGACTTGCCGGTTGCGCGATCTGTTTGTACTTGAGCAGAGATAACTTCGCCGCAGGAGGCAAATTCCTGTGCAAGCCAGTCGTTGTCGATATTCCATGATAGCCGACCAACGAAGATACTTTTCGTTTCCTCGATCGATACGCTAGGAGCGGCATCGCCATCGCCATCAACCAACTTTACCTTTTTTTGGGGAACGGACGGCTCTGCTTCTGCTTTGCGCTTGGTGCCTGTAGACCATTCAGATTGATAGATGACCACTGCGATCAATAGCTTACCCTTGGCGGGCTGAGCATTTTGTACCTCAGTACCCTTGGCCCCATCTTGATCTGACGAGCTCTCGTCGCTCGAAGAATCGGAAGAATCACCACTTTCTTTACCCTTCCCCTTTTTGGCGCCCGGGACACTGGCTGGCTTTTCATCGTCCGATGAGTCATCGGAGTCTGAAGCAGGGGCAGCCTTTTTGGGTGGTTCACCCTCCGAAGAGGAGTCCGAGGACTCGTCGCTTGATTGGGAAGCTTTTGCAATCGATGCTTTGAGTGCTCCCTGTAGATGTTGAGTAAAAATTGAAAAGACTGAAAAAGCGAATACATACAGCCTTAGCTAAAATGTCCTTGGATGATGTCGGCAATTTGACTTTCTTTCCGGGCGAGACGGTTGGTTTGGCCGCCTTGGTTTTATCTGTCTTTTTGCCTGAAGAACACGATAGAAAATCAAGTTGAGCGCAGACTAGTATCATCAATCACTCACCATTGGCAGGCTGAGCATCTTGCATCACTACATCCTTGTCACGGACCTCATCTGATGAGCTCTCGTCGCTTGAAGACGAATCAGAGGAATCATCGATCTCCATTTTACTCTTTCCTTTTTTGCTGGCCGGGGTACTAGCAGGCTTTTTTTCTTCCGATGAATCATCAGAGTCCGACGTTAACACAGTTTTTTTAGGCTGTTCGTCTTCCGAAGAGGAGTCTGAGGAATCGTCAGATGATTCGTCGTTGGCACGTTTAACGGAAGCCTTTCCGTTCGATGCTTTGAGTACTTTCTATGGAGGTTGTGTAAAAAGGTCAGAAGGGGACGGTTGAACGACAGGAAATACATACAGCCTTGGCCAAAATCTCTTTGGATGACGCTAGCGACTTTGCTTTTGCGGGTGAGGCAGCAGCTGTTTTGGCAGCCTTGGCCTTATCTGCCGTCTTTTTGTCTGCCTTCTTGTCTGATTTTGCCATGGTGTGCAAGTGAAGGATACAGATTTGCGAAGTAGGAAGTCCAAAATTTTGGCTCGATAAGCACGTGAGCCATTCTGATTAAGGGCAGGTTGGTTCAGGACTTGCCAGAATGCTGAGAGTGCTCTGTATCTGAATCAATTTCTTCTATCACTGCAGCAATGGATAATCACTTTGACGTTATCGTGCTTGGCACCGGTCTGATCGAGTCCATAACTGCTGCGTGAGCAAAATTTGACACTCGCACACAATGTTCTTGTACTTAGTAGGAATCTATCAGTGCTCTCTCCAAAGCTGGCTTCAAAGTCGCACATATTGACCCCAATCCATATTACGGTGCAGACGAAGCATCTCTCTCATTAGATGAACTCGTGCAGTGGGTTAATCGCCGTAAAGAGCACGATCGTTCCGTCACCCATTATGGTGAACTCCCGTCTTATGCGAGACAGTACTCAGTCTCATTGGGTCCTTCGGTCATTCCATCTATCGGCCCTTTCATTTCGTCCCTCATTGCATCTGGCGTCTCTCGCTATGGATCTTTCAAGCTCCTTGGTCGCGTTGTTATTTATGATGGTGGGATGTTGAAAGATGTGCCTCAGAGCAAGGATGACATCTTTCAGAGCAAGGCGATGAGTCTCTTAGAGAAGAGGAGGGTCACACGTTTCCTTATGTTTGCTGCTGGAGATTTCGAGAATAACAAGGAGCTGCATGGCCAAGAAAATTCGCCCTTGCTCGATTTCTTGCATAGGATTTTTTTGCTCAGCGAGGCAACCGCTCGGGCCATCACCTATGCCCTGGGATACTGTTATTTTATTGCAGAAAAGACTCTTCCCGCTCTGCATCGTATCCGCGCTTACCTGAAGGCATCTGGTCGCTATGGGCCATCCTCATTTCTTGTTGGCTACTACGGTGGCTCGGGCGAAATTGCACAAGGCTTTTGTCGGGCAGCTGCTGTGAGGGGAGGTGTTTATATTCTAGGACGATCCGTTACAAGTATCTCGTCTGTCGATCCCGCTGAGCCAGAAAACCCTGTTTTGACATCAGATCTACCCCGGTTCGCTATTGAAGTCGACGACTTTCCAGACCGTCTTCACTGTCGATGCCTGATATCGTCGACTTCTCTTCTACCAGGACACCTTAGCACCCTAGCAGATGTCATCCGTCCGAGTATATCATCCTACAGCTCCCCGCGGCCATTTGCAGTGGCGCGATGTATTGCCGTCGTTAATGGGCCAATTACTTTGCCGTGGGATATCGAGGATTCGGGAACGTCAGAAGTGTCGGATTCTTTACTTCTTGTCTTTCCGCCGGGGTCGTTACACGGGGGATCGGCTATTTCTGCTGTGCATGTTATGACAGCAGGTCCAGGTACAATGTCGGCCCCTTCTGGGAAAGGTACGGTGACTTTTTCAATTCATGGTTGGCAGTACCTCAATTCATTTTAGGTATCCTGTATATCTCAATGCCTCTTCTTACCAATTCTGTCCATTCGGCTGAGATCCTTTTGCGCCCCTACCTAACAGCTGTTCTCTCATTGTTTCCAGCTGAGCAACAGCAGCAGAAAACATTGATTTGTTCTACCTTCTATATGCAGGAACTTAATTCGTGTACAGCCAGTACCTCTGATCCATTGGTAGGGCTCCTGGCTGTGCCTTCATCAAGCCCACATATAACACAGGGGGTAGATGAAGCTGCAATAGTTGCTGAGGCTACCTTTAGAAAGGCAGCATATTCTCTTAATAGAGAGATAAAAGAGATGAATCAAGGATGTGAGCAAACTGTGTTTTGGCCTGTGTTAGCTGAGATGGAGGAGGGAGAAGGTAATGACATGCATTGGTAGAACACAGCTATCTATATATCATACAAGATATCTACTTGCTGGAGGAGGGAGATGGAGAACTGTTTATCTATGTATAAGACCTAGTGTTTCAAATATGAGTCTGTTAACCAGCACTTCCAAGTGTCATTAATGTTTGAGAGCCCTCTGTTATCATATGATTATCAGGTAATAGTATGGGTTTGTGCATCTGCAAAATGACTGAAATGTCATGTGTGTTACAGACACTTATGAACACTTACAACTTCAGTAGTGAAGTCACACAATTGGTGGAGATACCTGAATACCAATATTGCTCACCAATCTGGCTGATAAAACATAAACCAAGTTATCTTTTGTTGATAGGATGTGATAGGCTCACAGATACAATACAATATATGTGATACCAATAGTTGATCATGCTAAATGAGCCACTGTCTATGCAAATTCAGTACTCAATGCATGGTAGCTTTCTTTGTCCACAAAGTTGTTCAAAAAGAAATGCTTGTAGCATTCCAAACAAGTGACTGATGAAATATCACTGGCCACTTTCTCACCGAAACATGGTATGAGTTCAATGATGTTACAATAACATTTAGACCCCTATTCATTTTTCCTATCTCCCATCAAGTGGGCTGTCTACACTATGTTTGCTATCACTTATCTCTCATCAAGCGGGCTGTCCGCACTATGTTTGCTATCACATATCTCTTATCAAGTGGGCTGTCCACCTTTTATCTCTTTATCTTGATAGGTCATTTACAAGCTCTGCTTGAGCATTCACTATATATATACATGTAGTTCATTGGTTGTATTCCTTACTTTAATCTACTGGGTTTTACCTGGAACTTGTCCTTCAGCAAGGTCTCCAACCTTGCTGTCTAAGAACCACTATTCTAAGAGAGTCGCCTACACTTGCCTTAGCCTGAATCTTTGACCTCTCATTCGAGAGAAGAACCACATCTGTCTTGCTGTTAGCAGAACATCCATTTGGTGTTATGCTCAGCATTGTTTAGACATCTTAATGTTCAAGGATTCAAGTGAAGCCAATGTTCTGATGAAGATGAAAGCTAGATTGCAGGCCCTAGTCTGCATAGGTCAAGTTAAAGATACAAAGCATAATGAGATGTATATATAGGAATATTAAAGAGGAGTTTGAATGTAAATAGTGAATAGTAGTGCTGCCGAAGTCCGGTTCAGTCAGGTTCATTGACCTATGTCAGAAAATTCCATAGGTGCCTTGCAATGTTTCCAAATTGAGACATCATTTAGCTGTATTGCATCCGCAATGCAAGATTCTTCCAAGCAACCGTGGTATATTCTTAGAGCATTCCAAGGAAGCGACATTATTTTTGGTAACTTGCAAGATGTATTTGCGCCTTCCAAGGATTCAGTTATGTCAGCAACTGATTACAATCTCATTCCAATTCTGATCATACGTCAAATGATTTTCGATGTCCTGTATTTGAATCTGTGGGACTGGGCAATGGACCTATTAGTCAATCCCTTGTTGGCTCTGCACTTTGTCTGGGACGCTCAGTGGCTTTATAAGCACAATGGGACTCGCTTTGAGCGCTTCTTCCACGAGCCATGGACAGGAGACCACTGGTGGGATCTTCAAGTGTGATCAATCCCTCTTTGTATACTATGTGACTGACTGATTCATTTAGTCATCATTGCCTGAGAATGGAGTGCCATTCGCGTTCATATTATATGCTGACAAAACTCATCTTTCATCGGCTGGTACTGTCAAAGCATACCCGGTAATTGCCCGCTGTGGGAATCTACCAGTCAACATCAGGAATGTCGATGGTCCTGGAGGAGGGTGCCTGGTAGGTTGGTTACCAATTGTAAGTCCTCGCAATGTTATGTCAATGGGACTCAATTAATGGTCTTTGCCCCTTGTTACAGGTTCCTGAGGATTCAGATGAGGACAGCAAACTTTCCTACACAAATTTGAAGTGTGTCGTATGGCACGAATCATTTTCAATCCTGCTCGTAGCTATCATGCTCTTATCTGCAACTGGCTTTGCACACGAGTGCTATGATGGAATTCAATGCTGGCTATTCCCGTTAATTCTGATCCTATTGGCTGATTATGATGAGCAGTGAGTGATTCACATTTATATTTCATTAACACATCGTTTCTAACACAAATGATTTATATTATTAGGTGTGTGATGGCGCTAATACGGGGCCTCAATTCGGCCTGTCCTTGTCCCATTTGCCTGGTCCCAAGAGAAGAGCTCACCGATCACTCAACGACCTATCCTAAGCGCACTGTTAAAGACGCACAAGATTGTGTCGAGTTATGGTCCAGAGACCATATTGCAGGCGAGGTGGAACTGAAGAAATGGAGCTTGAGGCCTATCAAGGTGCATGATTGATGTCTTTCTCACTTACATGATCTCACAACCATCAGAATGTATTTTGGAAAGTCAAGCTGTCCAACCTGCATGATGCGCTCTTGCAGGATCCGCTACATGTTTATCATAAGGGGAAATTCGGCGATCACTTGTTTGACGAGTTCAAGAAACACCTCAAGGCGCTGGGATGTGCTGCTGAGAAGAAGGTTGATGAAAAGTAAGTCCCTTCCCAGTCGTTATTCTATCAGTCTGTCATGTCATTAATTTTAAAGGTTTGATGCATTTCCACAATGGCAAAACTTGAACCATTTTGATCATGTTACTAACATCTATTTTACCAATGGCAACAAGTTCCAGGATATATCTAGGGTACATTCTAGGGCGCTAGATTTAAAACTGTACATTTCTCATTGTTTTGATAGCAAATTGTGCATGCGGCACAGAACGTACTCACACATGCGGAAGATGAAGCTGGCTATGCACTCTTAAAGTGCATAGTGAGCTATCTTCACATTGATATGTACATATCACTCGATGTTCATACTGAAAGTACTCTTGCAGCTGGGGAGGCGGAGATACTCGTGTTTCAGAAACTGTTAGATGTAAGTCCTGTCTGAATCGCTCGCACCCGTCATCGTGACTCAATGCTACTATCACACAGGAATATATTGAGGTCCTTGGCGATGACACAATCAAGAATTGGAATTTCCCAAAGGCTCACACCTCGAAGCATGTATTTACTGACATCAGGGAGAAAGGCGCAGCTCGAAACTTCAGCACCAGACCAAATGAGAAGCAACATGGACCGATCAAATGTGCATACAAATTGCAAACAAATGGGAAGGATGTTGCTAACCAGGTATTACTTTATTCTTTCTGTAAATCAACTCATTGTTCATCCTTTGCATACCAGATACTTAGATTAGATCATATGACCCTCGTCTCCAGGCTCCTCTGCAGCTGCATTGAATACCTTGATGAAGAACAATGTAAAGTCATGCTGTCAGAGAGAGAGCTCGAGGAGGAAGACCTAGATGACCAACCTTTTGGTGGGCACATTCATCTTGGTGTCCCACAACACTCAGTCAGCCTTTTGCAGCTCGAAGAAGAAGATGCATCCAAGCCTGCCTTTGCACAGTTCCGCAAGAAACTTTCATTATTCCTCAATGACTTTCTACCTGCTTACAACATACTGCTACCTGATGGAAAAAAATGGCTGACACTTTCAGCACGAGAGACAGTCAGTAATAGTCATTTTGCTGATGTTCCTCTTCTTAAATGTCTTTATCGCAGGTCCAGGAGCATTGGTTCCTCAAGGTCAACTACGAGTCTGTTGTGGATTGGAAGCTTGCTACAGATTATTTGTGATGTAGTCTGAGCTTCCATGGCCATGAGCGACCCCTGATTCACACCAATGACAAGGACAGCAATGACAAGAACATTTTTGTTTGCATCTTGTTTATGTTCAAGCACATGGTTGGCAGCAAGGTTTTAGATCTTGCCTTAGTTCTACCTATGGATGTGCGAATGGGTCCGCGACGTGCTATTGACCAAGATTTGCGACTGACTCATCTTTGTGCGTGACCCCTGGCTTCATCAGAATTCATCACACTTCACTCTATCATTTGTGGCGTATTAATTGTTCCGGACTTTGCTATTCCTGGAGACTATTTCCTTGTTAATTATGTAGACACTGACATATTTCTTCATTCTCAGAGACAACTCTTTTAACTCATCCCTCACTGGACTATACTCTACCATAGATATTACCATACCTTTCCATATCACAGATCCATAATCCTGGCAGGCTCCTTAGATCCCCATTGTACAATACTTCTCTCTTGGACCTCCTGCCCTGTCGTGTGCAAGTCCGGCAGGTGAAGAGTTTCTTCAGGTGCGCTCTTATTTGCCTCCCCACAATTCCGGCAGTTGAAGAGTTTTTCAGGTGCACCCCTTGTCTGCCTCCACCATGCACCCTCATCTGCTTCCAGCATGCATGTCTACCTCCCTGCAATTCAGGCAGTTGAAGAACTTCTTCAGGTGCACCTGCATCTACCTCCCCACAATTCAGGCAGTTGAAGAACTTCTTCAATTCTTTAGGTGCGCCCTCATCTGCCTCCCCACAATTCAGGCAGTTGAAGAACTTCTTCAGGTGCACCCTCATCTGCCTCCCCACAATTCCACCAGTTGAAGAACTTCTTCAGGTGCACCCTCATCTGCCTCCCCACAATTCCGCCAGTTGAAGAACTTCTTCAGGTGCACCCTCATCTGCCTCCCCACAATTCCGCCAGTTGAAGAACTTCTTCAGGTGCACCCTCATCTGCCTCCCCACAATTCCACCAGTTGAAGAACTTCTTCAGGTGTGCTCTCATCTGCCCACAATTCAGACAGTTGAAGAACTTCTTCAGGTGTGCCCTCATCTGCCTCTCCACAATTCTGCCAGTTGAAAAACTTCTTCAGGTGTGCTCTTATTTGCCTCCTTGCAATTCTGCCAGTTGAAGAACTTCTTCAGGTGCGCTCTCATTTGCCTCCCCGCTCTCATCTGCCCACAATTCAGGCAGTTGAAGAACTTCTTCAGGTGCACCCTCATCTGCCTCCTGGCATGCACCATCATTTATGTCTACCTCCCCGCAATTCAGGCAGCTGAAGGACTTCTTCAGGTGCGCCCTTATCTGCCTCCCCACAATTCTGGCAGTTGAAGAGTTTTTCAGGCGCACCCTTGTCTGCTTCCGGCATGCACCATTGTTTATGTCTACCTCCCTGCAATTCAGACAGTTGAAGAACTTCTTCAAGTGTGCCCTTGTCTTCCTCCCCACAATTCCCTTCATCTGCTTCTGTGCAGTTCCGGGTTCATTGACAGAGAGGACATGGATTTGTGTGGTTTGTGCTCTGTGATGTACATTTTCAAATGGTGCGGCCTCTAATCTACGCTTTCCATTCACATCTGACTTCTATTATCTAAAGCACAATCCTCAACTGTGTAATCAAGCCTGACAACTTCCTCATGGGCATCGGCAATCAGGTCAATGTCATCAACTTCCGAATTTATTGTCTTCTGAAGACTTATTGACACGATACACATCAAATAACAGTAAGCTTTATGAAATTGAAGGGTCTTACTGCTCACTAACAAGGTCACCGGTGTAACAGTAGGACTGACATGTGTACTCATTATGCGTTTCTTATGACACGGCCCTATCTTGGCAGGGGTTCGATGATGATACCACACGTGGATCATTATGCGTTACAAGTTGTACTTAGACATTTTGGGGCGTAATGGGTGTGTATTTTACCTTTGAGTGACTTATTTGTGTGTAATCGCTACTTGTTCTACAGGTTTAGTATGTATTTGTGTGTGGTGCTGCCCTCAAGTCCCCAAAATGTTCTGAATTACAATGCTCACCTATCAGCGCATGTTCCAGACTGTGAGTTTTGCATATAAACTCACAGTGACATTAATCCAGATTCCTCCAGCTCCACCCAATTTCGAGTCGCGCCAGTCCTCTCGCCTTTGCCCATCATGCCACCGCACCAAGATCTACTGCAGGCCAACACTGAATTTGATTCCGAGTCCTCGTCAGAGTCTGATTTGGATGACTCAGACGAAGAGCTTGTATGTGTCCATGCCACAATTGCACCTGCTCCTGTAGATGCAACATCTCAGGAGCTCCGTCAGGTAAGCTATTACATTGTTATCGAGTTTGATATTATATTTTAAATTCGTCGGTTCGCAACCACTAGGCTCTCGAGGTCACTCAGAAGTTGTTACTCAACTTGCATAGTACATACCGGGAGACTATGAAAAGGAATGCACTCCTTGAGGCAGCAACATCCAAAGGTCACAAACAACGTAATCTCACCCCAAATGATCTTGCGATGGCAGCCAAGGAAGACACCATCCGAACTCTTGGGAGGAAGTACTCCATCACTCATTGCCTTTGGGTTAACATTGAGATCTTCCCGTTGTGTACTTGTCCAGACATCAATCTTAACAGCAAGGAATGCTGGATAAGTGGGGTGTCGATGGAGGATGGTGTAAAGGCTGAACTATTCCAGTTCATTCCTACAGAAGAGCACGAATTGATGAATTATCAGAGTTTTGGCTCTTAGGTATGTCGTGCCTGTCCTGTCAATGTATTCTCATGTTCTGATCTGAATCTCCTTAGTTCGGGAGGGGTGTCAGTAATGCTCATTCCAAAATGGCTTCAGATGTCAAGGCATGTGCTGGTGCCATCTTCAGTCTGAGCGCGAACATCTTCATACAGGGCTACAAACAACACGAAGACACCGGATGTCGTGCACTTTTACTGAGTCCCCATGGTGACTATACAAAATTTGTGCCAGTGTTGTTTCCTACACCCAAAAAGCCAGTATCAAGTGAGATGCTCCAATCAGCAAAGCTGGTGCAAGTACGTTGTTCCTCCTTTTCTCATTGTACAGGCTAATAAAACCCTTGAATGGCAGGTGTTGAAAGTATCGCTCTTTGGCAAATCATCGTTGGCTGCCACAGGTGCTGCATCTTCGAGGACAAAGGCCAAGATCTAGAAACTATGGGCTACAACACCAGGTATGATTGCTGCTGCTGCTGTTGTCGTAAGTTATTTTCGACTTATCGTTACAACTACAACTCATTATTCTCAAATATCAGGCAATATTCCTACTTTCCAGTGACACAGAACTGACTGAGATTGGGGAGACTACTAAGATACCATAAAATTTGACCCTTGCATTGGAATGGTCTTGGGACAGTCTTGGAAGATCACCCCTGAGGCTTCCAAGCAACTTCCAAGATTTTTGGGTTGTCTTGCAACCGGACTGCAATGCCACCGGTAAATTGAGGCCTTCCACACCCTTTTAATATATTTCAACCAAAATTAGAATTTTCCGACATATATCTGCAAACCCTGAACTTGACCACCGGTCAGGTTCAGACAGTTAGGATGAACCTTGGACTGAACTCCTATGAATGTGTTTGCAAAGGTTCGGTTCGAGTTCAGAATGGATTCGGACCATCAAACACTAGATTTTCATTTGCAAAAAATCTACAAGGTCACATTAATACACTATCAATGGGCCAACGGCTACTCTTCATGCACAACATGGTTGTCATATGGAGCAGAGAACTCAGCTTGGGCTGTCGCGGAGATGTGGCCGTGCTGATAACCACTCTTCAGCAGTTGAAGAGCCTCAAAGGTCGTCAGCAGTAAGCAATTACAACGTGCCATTCCAGTGATACCCCCACTCGAGAATGCTCGTTCCGATGCTACAACGGATCCCTGTATAGTGAGGTAGTCTTTGGCAATGCGGGAGAGAGTAGGGTATTGAATAGAATGGTGCTGTAAAGTATTTTGAATTTGAGCAACGTAAATAAATGATGTGATGTACCCCCCACCACACCACCACATTGTCAACATCCTCCAGTAGTGAGGCAAAATAATCCTCCAGTTCTTGATGAGGTCGTCCAAGTTGTGTTGCTGCATCATCCGTGACACGCAATTTGATGGAGTCACACATCCAATTTTGGCCATATGAGCCTTGGCGACCAAGCGACAAAGGCACAGCAACACCTGGCTTCATAACAGGCAAGGAGGCACTAGTAATAGTATGAAGGTACTCATCAAACTATGTAAGATTAGTATGTGTACAATTAATGAAGAGACGGCAAATGACATACAACTTTATTGAAACATATCATGCCCTCATCAAAGTGATCAGAGTCCCATTTAGCTTTCACATATGTGACTTTATAGTTTGAGTCCAATGCTACAGACTCAACACGTTAGTGTTCAAGGTTCAGAGGCATTAGCATAAATTACATACCGAGGCAGATGAAGTATACATCGGTGTTGTCAGTCTTGTGATACCATTTCTGAAGGTTATTGACCCCAGCCTCAATGGCTGTTGAGACATTGCTGAATTTTGAAGAGCCAGTCATGGTTTTCCACATCTCTTGAAGAAATTCAAGCACTGGAATAGTGCACCAAATGGTAGGTTCACGAGTTGCTGAGAATGTTTGCTGAGCATCTGCGGGTTCCTTGTTGCGTAGAATGTAAGCATATGGGACATAGTCAAAGGAAATAAATAATGAACCTGGAGAACATCATATATCAACTTCAAGTCCTTCCACTCTTGTGGCAACAGCCTGAATCCCATGTATGACTTGCCGTCCTGCAGGTTGGGAACCTTGTCACTATCATCAGCAAGTTGGGTAAACCTATTGACTCCCTAACAAATAAAATTAGTGATGCTATTCGTGGTAGCTATGAGTAGTAGATGACTTACTTTTTGTAATTGTAGAACATGCTGGATCATATAGACAAGCATGGCCCAGTGTGTTCAGATCCATTTCAAGAGCTCCAGGGGAGGCTCATTCACCTCATTGCAGCACTTTTGAAAGAAGATGCAAGCCTGAGGAGACTTCCATATCTGAGGAAGGTATCAGTATTATGCAATGGCAGAAAGGACTACTTACCTGTGTGACAAGAGCAAGTGCTTTTCCAATGGTGTCAGCGACATCGAACTTGACATTTTTATCTTCATCATCCAAATCTTCAGCTGCCTTTTTGTGTAGAGCACTTGCTAGTGTAGGAGCAACCTCTTCCACGAAATGTTTTGCTGCTAAGTGGAGTGCGTGCTCCATACAACTAAACAAACTCATCAGTGATCTAGATCTCAATTCAAACATCAAATATTATGCACCATACTCAATGTTCAACCGCATCCCACTTCTCACCAGAAGGGTCAATATCATCAGCAACAGTCTCAATAGCAGTGTTGTTGTTGGTGGCATTGTCGGCTGTGAACCAAACAACCTTCATATGGATACCCAATCAACATTCGGCCGATATTGGTGCTACTGTGATTGCCATCAATTGGTGTGAATGCAAGTTGCTCTGTCTTGAGCTCCCACTCTTGAGGAGTTTCAATTGGGGAGTCTATATAGTGAGCAGTAACAGAAAGGAAAGGATCACCGGGGTCGGATGTCCATGAGTCGAATGTCATTGATATTTTGCTGTCGACATGCTTAAGTTTCTCTTTCATACGCTCAATGGCCAGCTGGGCGCATTGAAGAATCTCATCTCATGTTTTGGTGCGATGGGAAATATCTTGAGCTGAGAGGGAGGGTCGGAGATATTGAAGCAGATGACGGAAGGGTCCTTTATCTACAAGTTGGAAGGCCTGTTTGGTGTAAGGATCTTAATAGTAGATTAGAAAGTGAAATCACATACCTCGTCTTCACAGACAATGAGTTCGACAATATAGTCCACAAGCCCAGCCTTGGTGAACGCAGGAATCTTGGGAGTGAGCGAGTTGTCTAAGGTTTTCTGACTACAGTTGTGAAATGTCATAAAATGGTAGTGAAAAGAAGGGGAAAAACTATGCACAGCTGGGGCATTGTTTTGCACATGCGAGGTATAGCATGATCATGCATTGTGATACCACATTCAGTACACTGGTCCTTGTAGATGGGGAAATGGCACTTAGGGCAGCGGGTGATGTGAGTGCAGCAAGTTGAGATGCTGCCCTTCAAAAAGCACTGGTGTAAGGGTACTCCATTGGCCTTGCATACTTCACACCACCACCCATCTTCATGCTCCTGTGTGTGGGGGTTGATGCGACCTTTCTCGAGGGTGAGTACAGTAGTCAGATCTGCACTTTGCTCATCTTTCTTTAGGGATTTGCGGTTGTCTCAGTCCTGGTCCTTGTGCCTCTTCATCCTCTGGTAGGCTTCCTCAGCAGCCTCCTCTTCCTCATTATCAGTAACATCTTCAAGTTCGGGTGTGTCATCATCATCATCATCTTGGCGACTGGCATTGACAAGTGCTTGCTTGGGTGCAGGGCGTGCTTGCTTGGGTGCAGGGCATGCTTGCTTGGGCACAGGAACATCTTGAGGAGGCACTGGAGCCCGCTGTTTTGCTGGGACACTGTCAACAGCCTCACAAATCTTCTCCATAGGTTTGATGGCACAGCCTGAATGATGGATAAAAGAATTAAGAGTGCCATTGGAGTTGGATGCAGGAGGGGGAGGAAGGACAGCAATGTCATTGTCAGGGTCATTGATCCACTCCATCTCTTCAGCATTTTTCAATGAACCATCAGGATGATGGGCTGGTGCAGACAACTCAGACATAGGTGAGGTGAGAAGTGTAAATGTCAAACCTATACCACAATTGAATGTATGTTAAACTAAATACAAAAATGTTGTGCACCTTAACACATCATAATGACAATCCATGGCACAAACTCGGTGTTGAACCTGAGAATCACCACAGTAGTAGGTATATTCTGAAATAAAAAACATTAGAAGTCAGTGATTCGTCAAACATGACAGAATATGAACATAGTACCGGCACTTCAAGTTGGATTCAGATGAATTGCATAGCTCAAAACACCGACAAGCACTATGATGAGGGTAATCTAGTTATGGTTAGCAGAAGATGGTGAGCGTACTACTTGAACTGTCAAGAGAACAAAACGGCCAGACTCGTGTTTGCACATGCACAGGTTCGAACCGGTCCGGACTTGTCCAGAACCAGTTCACATGCATCAGGAAATTACCAAACCCTGGACCTACCAGAGGGTTCAGTCCAAGAGAAATGCTGGACCTGTGACTGAACCATGAGTCTGGTTTGGAAAGGTCTGGGTTTGAACTGAGGTTTGGAACTGGACTGTGGCAGCACTAGTGAATAGGAAAAAGAGAATGAGAATCATACAATCAAATGTAATAGAATACTATGGAATGATGAGTAAGCATATGTGACAGTGTGAAGAGGTGAAAAGAATAGAACTGTAACATTACCCCTGTTTTAAGGGTAGTAAGCCCAGATTACTATGAAAGTTAAAGATGATGTGATCATTTATAGGAAGAAAGAATGTTTGAAGTGTTACCCAAATGTCTTTCCATTAACCACTCATCCTCAGAACTCAGGAATCCCTTCCATTTAATATGATAAGACCATCTAGATGATGAGCCACAATGACCAATAATGACTTCAACCTCATATTCTTCTTCTCTGTCAATGATATCTGGGGGTGCATTAATGAAGTTTGGACCATGTACATCATTTTCTTTATAGGGAGAAAGTAATGTGGCATGGAAAACGGGATGA